TGTACTGGAAATAAAGCTTCTGATAATTTAGAGACCATTGAGAATAATTTTCCCCTAATTTTCAGCCTTTAGTAAGGTCTAATTTAATTATGGTCAAGTAGTTCGAGTAGTAACTGACTCTACAAAAGATGCAGATGTGGTAATAGTCCTATAAATGGACATAAAATAGTAGGAAGTTTATAATGGCTGAAATAATACAATGGTGAACCCCATTGGGTTTTGGGAACTTTTCTGAAATGGGTAGATAGTTAAACAGCTTATTTATAAAAGGACTAAAGAATCGAAAAATATAAATGAAATACTAAGGAATGTTATGAGTAGGTGCATATCCACATACCTATAAATCAATTATGTAAGTCGTGCAAATATTGAACTGTTTTTATGAGACATAATTTGGCTCTATTTGGTGATGAAATATATAGCCCCGATAAAATTGCTTTAGAAACTTTTATTGCTGTAGTTCGAACTGCCATTTTAAGGCAACTATAAAAAGATGGGATCCTCATAAAATGATTCAATTAATCGTTTGGCTAAATAATATGAGTTTTGTTTCATCTTATAACGTCTGTTTATGGAATAATCTACGAACGACCTCACGATTCTTTGTTCTTGAAGCTTATTTATAAAAATAAACACAAGTAATAAAAATCTAGAAATGTAGAATGATCTTCACTTTGTTGGTTATACTGAACTTAAAAATTAAACATGTGGTTACCTTACAATAAACTATATTTAAATGAAGACTTCCTCGTAGCTTCTTCTGCGACGCAAAACCAATAAACTTTTAAAAAAGGCTGGCATTTTTCTTCTTATTATTGATAAGAAGAAAAAGGTTGGTACTTTATTGTTCAGAAGCAGAAAGCAGAAAAGGACAATGAAGTTCCAAAATGAATTTTATTGAATAATGCTTCAATTAATACTAATTGACANTTTTCAGTCTGAATGATACTTATGTACAGTCGACGGCAAATCATACTAAACATTTTTTTTTGCGAAATAGCATTTATTAAAACTGCAAAGTTGCCATATTTTCTAATTACTTGCATGTTATTTTGTCTGCAAATAAGAGTTACGCTAAGATATCCAGTTGGGTCCTACTGACGGATCACTCTTTAAAAATAGAAAACACATTAAAATGTCACCTGTCATTCAGGGGATAACCTGATTATAATTTCAACATTTCATGGTTATTTTATTTTCCATTGTTTTGTAATTCGTCATTTGGACGCCAACAGGCGACACGACCCTACTCAAAATCAAGTAGTAGAGTGGTTATTTATAGAAAAAAGACACATAAACACTTACTAGTGTTTGAGCATTATTTTTTATATCGTTGATGATCTAGTCACATATTAACGGCCTAGATTGTTTTATTGTTTCTCCGATAACATTTCTTGTGTTGTTTCGTCCATCCACGCCATATTTATTCATACCCACATTGTGAATAGACCCACGTATTTTTCACGGCATAGAAGTAATCGCCGTATCAGTGGTCTCTTTAATTTGTATGCCGGTCATTGGCCACAGTGTAAATAGGCGCAGTAATTCCATTTTGTGGTAAGGACATTGACACTCGAGTAGGTATCTGAAGTTTGATCTATTTGGCGTAACTGAACAACGGGCATTTAATGACCAAGCAATTATCAATAAAGTGTAATAAATTGATAACATTAAGTGCAATAATGATGCTTAGGTAAAAACATAAGTAAAATTTATTAAAAAAAAATAAAACCGACTCCAAAAAACCTACACTAAAACGTAGAAAAATAATTACTAATTACCTACTTATTTATTAGGACGAATTAATTATTAATATTTATGTAGGTATACCATGATTGATACTTCTGGAGTCGGTGCCAAGATTATGAAACATGTAAAGTTTGCCTGGAGTCGGTTTTATTTTTTTTTATAAAATTTTACTTATTTCTTGCTTTTTAGTTAACTAATTATTACCTTGATGTTACCACTGAAGGTAGGCAGTACACTGAGACCAAAAAAAAATGGTTCATTATCGGCGGAGATATTGCGTATAAAAAAGTTCATCCCCAATTTTCCACCCTTGGGGGTGAAATATTTTCTTCAAATTCGCATGAAACCACCCTTTTGATAATACCTATTCAACAAAAAAATAACCGTTCAAATTGATTTATAATCGGCGGAGATATTGCGTATAAAAAAGTTCATCCCCAATTTTCCACCCTTGGGGGTTGTTTTTTTTATTATTAAATTTAAATGGGACCACCCTTGAGATATTACCTATACGCCGAAAAAAGATTTGTTCAAATCGGTTCATAATTGGCGGAGTTATCGCGTAACAAACATAGAAAAAAAAAACATACGGGTCGAATTGAGAACCTCCTCCTTTTTTGAAGTCGGTTGAAAATCTTACACTTCAAGTTATGTAAAGTCAGTTTCATTTAGATATTTTTTCACACCTCAAAATTAAATGCTGATGATGTTTGAATGTTTGAGAGACAGGTACTGAAGCTTCATGAAATTATTAGAGCTGCTGTCCCAACCCAAGTAAGTAGTAGTAATGGTATTTTATTAAACGTCGTCTCATTGTTTAAATGGAGTGGACTTTCTGTATTATTTTTGTTGTACATTGAGTAAACTAATCTGGATTCTAATCCCGTTGGGGCATATCGTCTGCGGTATTTCCAGACGACATCTTTTAAAGTAGAGATGTGCGAAATGTTTATATCTGTCCATAACATCACTGTTTTAAGTTAACATTAGCTTTGGTCAGTTTTATTGTCTGAGAAGTTTCATAAACAATGGTAACACGCGGCTTAAAATCTCAGTCCTAGTTTAAAATAATGCCTACGTAAGTTAAAGATGTACTTACTTATAGTTAGGCTGTCTCTCGGTAATTCCTTTAAAACTAGGTATCGCAAAGTCAATACAATCAATACAGCATATTAACAATCGTTTTGATATGACCTTGCTGTAAATATAATTGAAACCATTGTTACTTAAGTTATAATAATTGCTATAAAACATTTAATATGTCTCGTACAATATTTTGTCATACCGCACTCCACGAAAGCAATTTATTTAATGTTAAGCTATTAGCGCAACTTCCTAATCCCAAGTTAAAACCAGTCGCCCATAGTTCAATTGTTTAAGTTTCATTCCGGCGATTTATAGACAGATTATCATAATCACTGCCTTCCATTCAACTAATAATTACAATCAAAGCGTTCGTAATTAGGGTAGCTCAGTAATTGGCTATTGCTTTTGGAGTTGCTCAATTTATTATGGTTTAGCTCGATCATGCTCGGTAATTAATGCAGAATGTATTCAAACATTTAGGACAACACTTTTGTTGAAGAGCAATCGATTATTATCTATGACTTGATATGAGGCATATAAAGCAAGACTTTCTTAAAGCTTTCTCCGTGCCTTTGGTCGTCACTTGTCAACACAGCTTTGGACTGGAAATAAAGCTTCTGATAATTTTGTTGCGGATCCATTGAGAATAATTCCCCGACTAAAGTGAGGTCTAATGGTCAAGTAGTGCCTACACTTAGTGAGCAAATAAATAAATAATATGAATATGAGTAGTACCTACCTGACTACAGAAGATGCAGAAATGGGAAAAGTCCTATATTGATCATAAAATTATAGGAGGTTTCTACTCTTTAATATAATGCCTGAAATAATACAAAGGAACCCCCTTGGGTTTTGGAACTTTTCTGAAATAGGTAGTTGAGCAGCTTATAAAAGGACTAAAGAATCGAAAACTACATATGAAAAACTAAGGAATGTTATGAATAGGTGCGTATCTACATACCTATAAATCAATTATGTAGTTGTGCAAATATTGAACTGTTTTTATGAGACATAATTTGGCTCTATTTGGTGATGAAATATATGGCCACGATAAAATTGCTTTAGAAACTTTTATTGCTGTAGTTCGAACTGCCATTTTAAGGCAACTATAAAAAGATGGGATCCTCATAAAATGATTCAATTAATCGTTTGGCTAAATAATATGAGTTTTTGTTTCGTCTTATAATGTCTGTTTATGGAATAATCTACGAACGACCTCACGATTCTTTGTTCTTGAAGCTTATTTATAAAAATAAACACAAGTAATAAAAATCTAGAAATGTATCTTAACTTTGTTGGTTATACTGAACTAAAAATTAAACATTGGTGGTTACCTTACAATAAACTACATTTAAATGAAGACTTCCTCGTAGCATCTTCTGCGACGCAAAACCAATAAACTTTTAAAAAAGGCTGGCATTTTTCTTCTTATTATTGATAAAGTACCAACCTTGGTACTTTATTGTTCAGAAGCAGAAAAGGACAATAAATTTCCAAAATGAATTTTATTGAATTGACACAATATTGTAATTCTTAAAGACCCATAAAAATTACGTAAAAACCTCGCAATATCCAAACAATTGTCTATAATAGTTCTGCCTTCGTTTATGCACATTTAGTGCGAGATGAAATAATGACGTTCGGTCCCTAAACGGCTAATAACCATAGGTTGAGTCGTGAACAGGTCTGATTGCCATCCGATCTGAGCATCACGACTCCACTCATGCTGCTCCAAGTTGCAACACGGATAAATGTTGCCAATTGTGAACGGTCGGTGCTGGGACCTTATGGTGCAGTTTGTTAATTTTGTACGGGTAATTTAGTTGCTTTGAACGTTATCAAATACATTTTACTTTGCAACTATTAAGGACTATTATTATATTATTTAGGGCCTGTACGTGTCATTAACAAAAAAAAAAACACGGACAGGCTATACTTATCTCTCATATAAACTGCTTTAAATCTCACACACACAGGGGTTCACAAGTCTCGGATAGAAATAGATAATGTCACCGAAAATCACGCTTTATTTCTTAAAAAATCTTTATTAGTCCAAGGACTTTAATTACCCTATAATTATCATGCTCTTTTTTGTCATAATAGCCATTATTGTACGTCTTATATTCTCACTTCAGTATTTTCTAACCAAACCTTCTCTTCCACAGTCCAAAGACCCATGGACATCAAGAACCGGCCTCGCATCCCGATCCCGGATGAAGACCCCTACAGCATTGCCAGTTCAAACGCCAACGGCTCCGGGTCGAGCGGCAGTTCAGGCGGCTACGGCCACAACGGGCACGGCGTGGTCGCGGCTACGAGGGAGCAGCTGATGATGCAGATGGGCCAGAGGAGAGGCGACAAGCCTCCCAAGCTGCCGCCTAGGGAGAATGGCTACGGGCCCGCTGATATTCCCAAGGTCTGTATGGTTGTAATTTTTATTAATCATTTTATCTCAATGCATAGACAAAGTAACAAACTTAACAACTTTTAAATAGTTTCGTGAAGCAAAGTACTTAGTTGTTACGTACAAAAAACGCTCTACTTAAGCGATTTCAGAATTATAACTGTAGCACTTGTAACAATACGTAGGCGGGCTCTGATTTGGTAACTATTGTTTACCAGAAAATGGGAATAAAAAAAATCTTATCGGGACTTCCTGGATCTCTGGCACATTTTTAACACTCTTACAGAACTAAAGAAATTGGAGTATCCAAATTAATGCGATCAATACTCAATACTTTATTGCTTATTATAGTACACTTTCGTGTGTGTAATCACGTTACGCCAATACCACAGCCTATAGCATAATAAAAGCCTCATTTAATTCCCATAACATATCATTTAATCGAACTATAACTATCATAATAAAACAATTGACCTGCATTGTCCTCGCATTTGAAAATCTTTCAACATTATCGACCATTTTGACTATTACGCCATGACGTTTATCGTTACAAATCTAATAAAGCAATTTTTATATTATGTAAGTAATTCCGAGGGGCTAATCATAAGGCAATTTTTGCCACAGGCCACTGGTAATTCAATTTTCAACACATTTGAAGCGAGCCTGCTTTGCCCTTCATATACGCGTAATAGACACAGATTCAGTAAGTACAAACACTATGAAACGATACAGAATGTGTATAGTAGTCTCTTAGACACACACATACACACTGTGAGAAAGAGAGATATTTCATCTCTTCTGCCGTCTGAGCTATAAAAACTAATTTTAAAACCCTGCTGTCAACTTCAAGAGACAAAGGCATTTGATTTTTATTGGCTCTGTAATGGCACTGAAATTAATACAGTCAGTTCGTGAAAAAGTGACGTCATAGGTTCCGTTTGCTCTACATATTTTATGGACAGGCACTTTATGACAGCTTATACAGAAAGTCAATTGTGATACGAGACTACTGCTCTTTCCCCAGTTTTGACATTGACTTTAATAACGACACCTGATTCAATTCACTCGCATCTGAACAATGCAAACTTGATTTCATACAAGCCACTTGCAATTCGATACACATCGAATGCGGTTTGGATTCCCCGAGTAATTTGTTGCAAGTGAAAATTGCATTGTGCATTACAACGTCATTACTTCATGCATTAAGGTCCGGAAGAAAAAAGGCGAGGTCCCGAAATAAATTGAGGAAATAAAATGGTTTGGGTAATAAATTATGCTATTTGACGATATTCGTATGGGAAAAGAGGTACTTAATTTGATTATAAGTAGGTATTGTTTTGCAACAAATCAATTTTATTGACGATCATTAATACCCACAGTCATGAACGTTTGTAGTACTTGTAAGAGCCATATTATGTGGAAGTTTGCTTGTATACCAACTTTGAAACAATAAAGTTAGCATTTTAAAACTTTATAAATAAAAAATTATATAATATTCCAATGATATCAGTTCCCCAAAAGCTGCATTGATTTGCTAAATAAATAACAAGACATCTCAACAAAGAATATTAATATTACTTGCTAATATTATTAACATTTTGCATGTCATTGTCTATCTACTTCAATGTAAGAGCAAGTTTACAAAAACTTGTCATTCTAACTTTCTATACAACTGGCGGAGTCGAATCAAAGCAACACCATAAGTGGAACTAAAATTTCACTTGCCCAGTCGCACATCCAGAGATTTACAGCAATTTACGTTTCACTTTTTCTTTTACTATAATTGATGCAATTTTAAAAATAATAGCAAGCCTTATTTGTTCCACACTTTTTTCCGCCATCTTAATTTGATTTTGAAATAAAAACGCACCAGCGAATAAGAGGTTGAAATGAGAAGCAAAATTAAAGTTACATGAAGGATGAAACAGGCAACTAGTGGGGTGTGGGGACTGACTTTGTTCTGACGCCTCCGATTCATGTTTGCCGTGATGTTTGTCTTAATCGCTGATATGGTACAAATTATAATGTACGATTGTATATGTATAAAGCCGTAGGGACAGAGTATTATATTTTTTGGCTTTTATATTCCGAGTGTTTTTTTATTTCTTTTCAGTTTAAAAGTCAGTACTTATAGCTTTCCACTGATTATAATTTAGAATATATTTAGAAAAATAAACCGAAATCATAATTTGATAACAACTAAATCAAATTCATTCCCAAAAACTCCAATAAAAGAGTTCCAAGTTCCTCATTTGTCAACCACAAGATAAAATAAATGCAATATATTAATGATAAAATGCAATTTATGCAGATTGAATCCCTTAACGTAATCGGATTTAGAGTGAATGATCACTTCTTTCGTTTAGCGGTCGGTGAACAGGAAAAATGTTTCCGAAAACGCTTAGCTAAAGATCGCAAAATCCATTGATGTGAGACATTTATCTTGACAAGGGTACAAAATAATCGGAAAAGTAACTAATATACCTAAGTCTGTTAACAGCGTTCTTCCTAAGCTTAGTTTGGTATTTTTTTACATTTACTTAACGCTTTTAGATTTAATTCTTAACTTACATACATAAAATACCTGAGAGGTTATAAAAGCAGAGGCAACACGAAAGGGTTAAGAAGTGACAAATTTTAGATATTATCACACATTAACCACATAAAAAAATATGTTAAACGATCCCCACATACTCTCACATTGTCTGCATTACTAATTGATTTGACATTAAAATATCTGAACGGATGTTATAAAATATTTATTGCCCAAGTTATTCGGAATTCGTTACCAGGACGGGTTACGATAGCTGATGGATCAACAATACCGCCCGATGGACTGACATTAGTATTCTAATCTCATATGTCACCGACAGATGTTATGTAAATCATCGCTAAATTGATCCTTACTGGGCTATCGAGATTAGTTCACCGGTTCAGATTTAATACGTAATCTTGTTTTATGTAACATTTGAAATGCTGTCGATTTCTGATACTTATCAATAGGAGTCGTTGTTTAAAATTGAACTACTTTACATCTTGATATCGATTTTTGTTTTGAAGTATGAATTAGATAAGTATCAAGTTTTTTTCAGTACCTAAACTATTATCTCTTACCTACGCAACGATAACTGGAAAATGAGTTAAAAATCGATGCATGATTATTATTCTTTGTTAAGGAGGTTTTATTCGTAGCAATGTTCTAAGGACTCCCATTCCTCTGATATAGTGTGAACTAGACTTTTCAAAGACGCGATAGTGACGTCCCAATATCTCGCTTCAATCTCACCTCCGAGATAAATATCGATATTCGATGTCGATATTTCTTATTCGTTTACGCGAAGCGCCATCGAGGCGGCTGCAGTTATACAAATGAACAATGTCTTTTGTATGTCTTTTACTTACAATTTCTATATCGGCAGATTTAGTACAGAGGGCATTGATAAAAGACGTTCTATTTTTAACCCTATTGAATATAACACTTTCATATTTTGAATAGCGAAGTATTTCCATTTAAGTCTGCCTTTATTTGTATTTTGTTTACAATATAGCTAACAGTAAAAAAAAACTCAAGAAAACCTTTTATGCTTACAGCTATATTCCGTAGTAAACTTTGTTCGTGCGTACGCGCCGTTGTAGTTTAACATTTTATTCACACCCTATATCTATCGCAATGTAATTTAGTGTAAAAGGGAAATACAGGGTGGCGCTAATAATTCGCGCTGTGTGATAAGATCCACCTACTATATGAGCTTGCAGATGCGATCGGATCTTGTGCTAAAAGATTGTACTGCGCCTACGCATTTTATTGTAACTCCATTTTTTGTTTTTAGAAACGACTTCTAGAGTCTAATGTTTGTTTATTTTTTTAAACATATTAGTTGACCCTAATACTAATTTATCAGATTAAATTTTTGTACTATGAAGTAAGATTGTATAAATACAAATAAAATAAAATTTACATAGAGGTACCAAACTATAGGGCGATGAGCATCATTCATCGTCATACTATAATCGTAGACCCAAGTTACTATAAAAAAGTACAATAAGCTTTATATGACCTACCTTTTTATGTGTCGTTTATAAATAAATATATTGAAATTCTTATATACTTGTGTAATTGTATTTTTATATCTCCTTTTCAGCCGGACTACGACGACATAGAGGAGAACGGGCGCGTCCCAACGCAGTTCCCGAGGGGCAAATCTGACAAGGGCAAAGACAACAAGAAATATGGTAAGTTAATTGATAATAATATTGCCAAAGACTGAGTAAAAACTAAGGCTGAGTTGTTCCAACTTATTTTAACCGTACTAACTATAACAATAACCGGTGTTTTTGGTATAGAGTTTGATAGATTTTTGAAGTTTGTTAAAGTTTAAAGTAAGATGGTGCAACTCAGTTTTAGTAAGTTATACCTTGGAGATTTAACCATGAATGAACTTTTAAAAATCAAAAGAACCGTGCCTTGAGTAAACAGTTATTTTTAGAACCATCTAAAAATAAACCCCAACGAAAGCGAAAGTAAAAGCAAACCGAAAAAAATTCAAAATATACTCAACAATTGCAGCATTAATTACAAGGCGACTATAAATTGTCCCGTGCAGGAGTCGAACCTTGAACAGTATGCCCGCCAGCGTCGGCTATTACAGTATATTTAAGGCGGCGCACGCGTCTAAAATGGCATCGCCTATGTTTGGGCATTACGCCTCAATAAATACTTGCCTTAATGAAACTTGTTTTAAAAAGTTCAGTTTAATTCGTTTAAGTTATTTCACTAATTGAAAGCAGAGAAGTCATAAATTTAAGAAAACTAGATGTATTTACTGCTAAAGGTATACAATAAAATGAAGTACCTACTATTCATACACATGGAATTAAGAAAAAAACAGAATACCCCAAAAAACCCAAACCAAACTTTACCAAACTAAAAAAGTTACCTACTATAGGAAGTGAGAGTAAGTAGACAAAAAATATAACCTTACTTAAGGATACTAAGTAGGTATCAACATTTTTACTCCCTATAAATCATTGCTTATTTTTATTTTACCAACACCTGAGGTGCTAGTAACCATTTTAATATTTTGTCCAACACTTTAATCTTACGGGATGGTAAATTGCTGACATTTGCCGGATGGACATTAAAAGGTCTTCTTTCAGGATTATCTACGTAAATAGCCTCTCGAATAGCAATTCTTGGCTTATCAAGGGAATCTGTCGTGTATTAACCTGTATAGCGCGTGTAAGGCTGACACCTGTCAGTTGCCCTGTATTTATGGTGGCCGACTGAAGTGAACAAGGCGAAGTGTGAACATTATATCAATATCAGTGTTGGGCCGACAGATCATCATTTATAAATACACGTCCAGCGTTCAGATTTACCGCCCTCGGGGTAAAATATTGAAATAGAGAATAAGGGGATGACACATGGGAATTATTTAGATTTTGGTAATTGTCTTCAGAATATGGTATTTCCTAATAAGTATTAATATTCTAAGTCCAAACACGAAAAACTTATTACGTGTCTTTTTACATTTATCATTTATCAACCCTGTATGTAAAACACTGTATTCTATTAGGAAAACATTATAGAATTCAGTTGAAATATTGTGACACCTTCATAAAAGAAAGAACAGGGGATTGAGAAGCATAAATTCATAAGATATTTGTCCGGAGTATAATTAAGTATAGTTAAGAATTTTTTGCTGTAGTGGGTACCTATTACTTATTTGAAAAACCGCATGTGTGATAGGGCTCTTACTTAAACGCGAAATTCACATTCAGCCCAGAAAAGCTTTTACGCGGTCTGATAAGGCACAAAAGGCGTTCTATAAATTTTGTTAAAGTACCTTTTTGAATTTATACGTTTTAATATACTCGATAACATTGAAAACTCTGAAATATGATTGCTTCAAGAAAGAAACGCGAGCGGCAAAATCAAAAGGTGTAAGATTTGTCGGTCGCTAGATCCTGGGGAAAAAAGTTCTTAAGGATAGTGGAAATCTTCGAGAAAATGTAAACAAAGTGTTGCATGATATCCAAATATCCAATGCGTTCTAGTAATCATAAAAGGTGTTGCAATGAGTGGTTATAAAACAAATCAACCGTGGCTATTATGACATTTGATCCTGATTGAAATCTATGTAGAGCTTGTTGTAATAGTGTCCAAAGTGTTGACTCTACCTAGGGGCAAATGTATCCAGTCACGTTTATCGTTTCTCAATTCAGTATGTATGATCGAGTGTGACGTTTCTAGTTCACTTCACTATGCCTGTTTGAAGAGCGTCGCATTTCATTCATCAAATATGTGATGGCTGAAGGTCACAAACTGGTGAAATATTTTTTTATAAAATCCCAATTAAGAAAACAAAGGCCTTCATAATTTTTATATCGTTCATAATTCAAATAATGTTTTTTAATAATCAATTGATTAAAAAAATGAATTCAAAGTTGATAAAACATTTTTTTTGAAAAGCTACGTACACAACACGAAATTTAGCTAAGTATAATTTCAAAACCACACAACACTAATTGTGATTTTTGGGACTCCATACATTTACAGCACTGCATCTCCTGTATAATCTGAATTCACGCGCAGGATTTATTAGTTTCAGCTTAATTATATCGTCTGTCATCATAGCAACACTATTCAGTGCAGAGGTTACACCGAGACAATGCTCCGGTGTCGCAACCTCGTTGGCATTTCGGCATATCCTTGATATTTGGATTGGCGGTATTTGGAACGTAGGACGAGGAACGTGCACGCGTGTTGTGAGTGTGCGCAGCAACACGATTAACATTTTGCCGCGTTAATGCCACTGGGGTTCCCCAAGGATCTACTCTAGGTCCACATTTATTAAGGGTCAAATCAAGTGTTTAGTTATGGGGTTTTCTGAGTTTGAATAAATTTTACGGGAGCAAGCGAAAACGAATTTATTTAATAAGTACTTACATATAGCATCATTGAATTAAGCGTCAATTAATTTGTAGTAAATATAAGTTAATAAAATTCAAGCAATAAGGGTGTTCGAAAATAATTTTCAGTTTTTAAAATTCATTGAGTGACATAGTTGAATTACAAAATATTAAAATATCGTTTTGTAATAATATATTTCATACACAATTTTCCACCTCATCACAATCATATTTTGACTGTAAAAAAAATTAACTTTCCGTGCAACTTTGTTTCAGATGACCCGTACTACTGCGGTCTGCGCGCCCGCGTGCCCAACTTCGTAAAGACGAACGGGGCCAAAGTTCTGCCGGCGATGACTGAGCGGCTGACCCTCAAGGAGGCGCCGATGCCCGTTCCCAGCAAGCGCTACAGCGTGGCCCACGCCCACCCTGGCCCCTTCCCGCCACACATGGCCCCTTTCGCCCACGCTCCCATGCCCCCCGCGGCGCTCTGGCACGCTCGCTCCTACGAGAGCGGAATCGGTGCGTACGAAAGACCCCCCAGAAAGGAAAAGCTCATGTACCAATTCTATCCTAACAGGGACCAACGGCTGCGACCGATCGTCATCCAGCAACCGCGCTAGGTGTACATAAGATTAACCCCGCACTAAAATCACACCGCCTCGGCGCGGAATCTCCGCTCCAATCTTGGTATTTAAACTTTCCGTATTTCAAACGCTTAGCTTGGTAGCACTTTCTGCCTGTAGCTGGTATCTTAACTCACTTATCTTCACTTCTACACTTCTGTGTTCACTTACTACTACAATCTTCTGATACTGTTCTTTCCTAGTTCTCTTATGTCTGCGCATCCCAATCTTTCAGCATTGCAAGCTTTGCTATGAATGGTAGTGTTAGTAGTCCTTTGAATTCTATCGAATGTTCTATTGAAACTTTCCTTAAACACCTTTGACCGTAGTTTCTGATTTACCCAGATTAAAATCGTACGTTTGACGAATAACACATCGACAGTGAATACAATCGCTGCAACGTTTCCGTATATGAACAAGCCACTGCGATTGTACAGGCAGGCGTTACCACTTGGATGAAGCATCACACCATTGATTTATCTAAGATGTGCCCTTGCCCTTTAACCTAAGCCGGAAGAATAAATTCACTGATTGGGTTTAAAAGATCGTACATCGCGCACATAATAAAATTGGAGCTTAAAAAGAAGTATTAACGTCTAATGCATACGCAAATTTGAAAAGTTTAACGCTAAGCAAAGGCACACCTGTATAAATCATTGGCCCCCACTCACGCACGACTAACGGACACAATCTTGCAGATGGAGATCACTATGACCCATACGCGATATACGGCAGACTACCCATGCCTGGCCGCGGCTTCCCGCCTCCACCGGCACCCAACGCTCGCCACATGTTCATCGGAGAATGGGACTAAACCCCATCAATTGCACTGGAGAATACCACTAAAAACCACGAGACCAATCTATGACATAATCTAAAAAATATAAATTATTATCGAGACAATTGTCTGAAGAAATTTTAGAATCTGTAGCTTGATTGATTATCTCAAAGGTTGACCTTGTGATTGGTTTTACTGAATATGGTCACATCGATGTTAAACTTTCGAGTTTTCTAACAAATAGACGTAGCGATATTCAGACAGTATGCCCTGACATGTAAATATATAACACAGTTGTAAATTATTAGTCAAATCGTTTTCTGTTTATCGATTTCAAAGCAGCTTTTGACAATGTATCACTCAAAAATCGCTTTGAAGAGCAAACGAATTGAACTGGGCAATGCTGTAAAATTACGAATTTAGTTTTTAAAACCATCGCAGACTTTAACTTGTGTAGTTTTTGTTGATAAGATTGAAGTTTGTAAGACGCGAATTTTACCATTTTGATACATGATTAGAATTAAGTATTTAAGATATTGTGTGTTTTAAATAATCACTGCCACTTTCGACGATATCAGTGTGTTCATACTTGATTTTGTTTATTAAGGTTTTTCTTTCTTAATATTTAAGGTGTCAATCCTAGTCAATACAGGGTTGGGAATGATTTATTAGGAACTAGTAAATGTTGAAATCCAAATTCGTGCAGTGTTCTCACACCTTCTGTCTCTTTTATTTTCATTTATTTAAAAGAAATAAAAGATGTTACAGAGAACACACAGAGTAAATTAATACTGTAACATCACATAGAAAACGGCTTGTGACATAAATAATGTAATTTATGTTTAATAGTATTTTCAATTGACTAGCAACAACTTTGGAATTTTCCGTGTAAATACCAAGTTTTATTTCAAATTGTTTCATAGTTTAGGAGTTATTTTGTATGTTTATTAATAAGTACCTTACAAGTCTTTGTCACAACATAAGTTAAATGTAATCACATACATGTGTAGTTGTTATAGAAAGCAATAATATAAACTTAGTACCTAAGTTAAATAAGCTCTTTTGTAAATATATTCGAGTATAATCATTTTATTATAAAAAAACAGTGTATCACTTTAATATGTTACAATATCTTTTAATACTCAATTACGTGTAATGGATATTTAGTTCTGTACAATTAATAATAATAATTTGTATGTAATTTATTGTAAAAGATTTTTTATATTAATGTATATGTCACATTTTTATTTTTGTACTTTTAATACAACGTTAAAATGTGGTTAATTTGAGCTTGTTAAAAAATTATGTTTCTTAAAGGGACTATTATTCTTTTAACAGTAGTCTTTTTTGGAAAAATATAATGTGGTTATATTTTTATAAACAGCAGTAAATAATGTACATTCAAAATTGTATATTCGGAGGTGCTACGCAGGTTACCATTGTATCTTTTTACGACTATGCTAAAATAGAATACATGAAATAAAGGATTTATAAATTGAGTCGTCGTCAGGTGATAAAATTGCTCTTATTTTGAATTTTCCAAATATTTTTTCGAAGGTTTTAGACAATGACAACATTAAAATTTGGTCTAGACTCTCTTTCTTCTTTAGTCCTGGAACTGTCGAGACGTTAGATTCGTTCTAAATTACTTAAATAAAGGTCATTGTTGTTAAATTAAATAATTATTTGTATTATTATTTAGAGTTTAATAGCAGTTTTGTACACTTATATAACGAATATACTAGTATAAACATTAAAAATACTTATCAACATCCTAAATGTATTATGTAACGCAGGGTGTTGGATAATGAGTAACCTATTTTAAGGAAACGTGTATGGATAAATACAATAATTTTGTAATTAATTGCTTTATTATTTCAAATCCTTGACAAAAATGTATTCGTTCATCAAGATAGAAAACCTTTAGAAAGGCTTATGGTTTTTTATAATTGCCTTCACCAATCCAATCTTTAATGAGATATCTAATATACGCCCTTGCATCTTTTAGTTCCTCATGATCCGATTCTCTATCAGAAAACAGATCTCTGCAATGCGACGATTGACTGATAATTTTGGCTGGCGATTCATAGGACAAGTCTTCTAGGACACTCAATCTGCTCCATGGATCCATGTCACCATTTACGAACACAACGTGACTCACGTTAGGCTTCAAACCTCCATACAATTTATTGCTATCTCTAACGCCTCTGTCAACTCTTTCTTCATTAAAGTCTGGCCCAAACAACTTGGTACACATCCTGTAGTAAAATTCTACCGAAATGTTTTTAGTAAACGGCTGGTCATCAGAAGACCCAGTTTGAAAGTAACCGAACTCGGTGCAAGTCTGATAGATCCAAGCAGTCAACCAATCAATGCTCCTAATACTTACAATCATCTCATCGAAATCATAGTAATAACACTCGCTTCTTTCATTCCAAATTAAGTTTTGATTTTTCACTTTCCTAAAATTCGAAGTAAAGTTGCTCTCACAATAATCTTTGATGACTCCAGGATTACCATACTGGGCTCGATACATAAATTGGGAGGCCTTCTCCATGAAGAAAAGTTCCCTATTTTCCGATTTGCTCATATCACAACTATCGCAAATATTCTCTTCAACTTTTAACGTTTCGATTCCGTCGTCACTCTGAAAAAGTTTTTCATATCTTGAAAACATTGCAGCAATTTTGTCCCAACAGCCGGCAGGTCCGTATTGTTCGAAGTCATCGCTAACAGTTTCTAGGTATTCGTAGAAATATTTTTTCGCTAAAACGGGCGCACTGCTTGCTATTGCTGCATCCACTAGTTCAGGGTACAATAATTTCATCCACGCAGCTAAATTTCCAGAATACGATCCACCAACTACCACTACTTTCGATGATCTAAATTTAGGCATTGATTTAATTAACTTCAATAATCTGGCTGAGTCAGCAAGTGCTTGTCTAGCGCTCAGATACGCCAAATTTTCTGAAGTGAAATTTTGAAACGGCTTACTTTTCCCATAGTACCTGTGTTCGGATGCAAACATAGCTCCATTCGTCTCGTTTGCTAGATCGTACATTATGCCGGTCTTCAAGAAAACAGGACTTGCTGGACCCTCGCCGCCCAAGAATAAATATATGGGCTTCTTTGGTTTCCACATGTCATGTCTTTGAAAATACCTCATTTTCCATGTCCGTGTATCAATAGGATCAAAGTGGTTTACGGGTTGTCTCATCCAACTCGTTTTAACAGCTGATGTGTCGAAATTTACTAGCGATTCGTTCATTTCTGTCGCTATATATTCAAATTCGTTGCCGAAACTGTGAAACGAAAGGCCATTTGTACGGCCAGTGTTGAACAATACAACTGCCAAACACAGAAACAGCATAGTCGATGAGTGCACTTGGTAATCAGAAATGATTTCACGTAACGGGTGCTCAGCTCTAGTATTTAACCTCACTGAAAACTCGGCGTAAGCTTCTTATCACGGTTAGTTTTCACACTCAGCTTCCACACTTGAATGTAGCCTAAGTAGCTAGAACACAAAAAGTAACCGAAATTATACAGATTTTAATTACAGGCAATCTGAGTAATGTTGGCCATCAGTACAACAATGGCTCAAAACATAATGTGAATTATTTTTTTTAAGTTTTTTTGAGTTAAAGATACAAAGGGTAAGCTTCAATTTATTGAAATAACTAAAATCAAAGTGATTAAAACTACTACCTACTTAAATTAGCAATTAAATTTTGAACATATATAAATTATATGCCAATGACCAAAGTTAACCAATTTGTATATTAAATTTAATTTCTTTATTTTACCTAAGTAACCATTAACCACCAGAGGCTAATTTTTAAACAGATGATAGTTTAATTTTGAATGCAGAAATGTTCGTAAAATCATGGGTAAAATAAAACACCCACCAGAATTGCGAGCGGATACACAAGATTTATATACCGAGTCGAGTCATTCAATTCACGTGGAACAGCACACGTCACTAAGGGGAGAAAGGGGCACTTATCAAAATGGCCTATTTTTCTTTTAACATTTGTTCATTATAGAAATGTTCGTAAACATCCACCAAAATTAAAATAATATTTTAAAAAATTACGAGCGGATACCTTGATAAACTTCGTATTAACACACTCTTCTTTTTGCTTGTTCTAGCACTATGTTGGAACCTTACTAATGATAATATTCATAAAAATTTTAGTGAATGGTGTATAAGTACCAACTTATTCTTTGTATGTGCCTAAGTACATAAAGTAGTTCTGGTTACGAACTTTTTTTTGTGATTAAGAGTAGGTAGGCTAATCTGGTGTAAGCGATGCCATTTTTGAGTTGACATCAAAATCTACGTAGATTTTGATGTCAACTCAAAAATTTATTTATTTATTTATTTATTTTCACCAACTTAAACTATCTTTACAGGTCAATAACCTAATGCGATAGCATAAATTATTTTGTAGGCAGGTACACTGTATCTACTTACACTAACTACTTAAAATGAAATAAAATGGCATCGCTTGTTGTCAATTGCACTTACCTATTTCAATAAATAAATTTAATTTTAAATGTAAATTATATTAATGTATTAAATAAAATTAAATTGAATATTATATACCTACTATTAAATTATTATGTAAAATGTTTGCATGCTTTTATAAAGTAGATTTTGACGAACAAACCATTTTAAGAACACCTTAATGTATTACTCAATCAAAATTGAAGCAAATAAATTTATTTCATTTCATTTCAAATAAATGTCTTTAAAAATAACATTATGTAGGTAGCTACTTCATTTTTTTTTTTGTTGTGTGTTAGTAAAATAATAAAAGACACCGAGTATGATAAATACTTTATTTGCAATGGAATTTCGAATTTTGTATTTTATGCGGGTAAACCTCATTCTGACGTAAGTGAACAGTATCTCAATGACACAAACCGATGAGGATTTTGTCAAAGATAGAGTTGTTGTTTTTTTATTATATTTGCATTAAGGCAGTTACTGTTACTGCCTCTTATCTTCTTTCTGTCGTCTGTTTGGAATTAAAAGCTGTGCTATCACTTGAGTCGTGGAGGTTTGTATCAGTATGGAAAACCCAAGAAAAAATAGTTCTAGAGGTCACCCCGAATAAACATAATTATATTAAAATGTCAACCCTGATAATGGCATCAAAATATGCAACAATGTTAATAAAGGGAGTATTTTNATATATTAAAATGTCAACCCTGAGAGTGGCATCCAAATACACAACAATCTTAATAAAGAGAGTATTTTACATTCCAATCCATTCCTTTAGTTTCTTCATCGTAAACTCTCTGACCTCTGCAACCTTTTCGGATTTATCGTCGTCATCGAAAAACCAGAGGTCTGAACAATGACCCGCATCTGGTATGACCCTGGCCGGAGCTTCATCTGAAAGATCTGTCAAAACACCAAGTTTGTGCCATGGGTCCATGTCTCCGTTAACGAAAACTACTCTGTCCACATTTGGCGTCCGGCCACCATATTTTTCGTTGGTTTTCTTAACACCATCTTCTATACGTGCCTGATCAAATTCTGGGCCAAATACGTCTGTACACATTTTATAATAGAATGAAACCGGTAAGTTATTTGTAAAAGGATGATTATTCGATGAAGTGGATTGCATATAACCAAATTCGGTACAAGTCTGATAAAGCCATGGTTTGAAATAAAAATGTTCTTTTATATCTTCAATCATATCGGCAAAGTCATAGTTAAAACAAATGGGATGTGAATTTTCAAACTGCAATTGCTTGTTCCACTTCCAATCATGAATACTATTTGAAGTGATGATATGATTACAGTTATGTTGTATCTGTGTTGGATTTTGTACCATAGATGTAAAATATGTTAAGATATAGTAAAAAAAGGTATGTTGGTTTTCCAGGACCTTCATATCAGTCCCTTTGCAAATTTTATGTTCTTTTTTAAGCTGTTCAATTCCCTCGTCAGATTTTAGTAACTTTTCGTAGCGTTGGAAAATTTCAGCTACTTTCTCATAGCAAGCAGAAGATCCATATTTCTTGAAAAGATCACCAACTACCTCAAGGTATTCATAAAAATCTGACTTAGCTAACAGGGGAGCACTACTTGATAGGGCTGCGTCTACTAAATCGGGATACAACATCCTCGCCCAGGCGGCTAGATTTCCTGAGTATGAACCGCCGAAGACAACGACTTTGCTATTTTTATAAAGATCTTCACGCTTTATATATTCTATGAAGTTTTTCAAATCGGCAAGAGCTTGCGTCGAACTTAAGTAAGCCAAGTTCTCTACACTCATATCGTCGTTAGGAACACTTTTACCGTAGAATCTATGTTCTGGTATCATCACGGTAGCGTTAACTTCTTTTGCAAAATTCATGATTAGAAAATTGACGATCTGATTAATGTTATAGGGGTGATTGCCTCCTGTGTAAAATACAAGAGGCCCACCAGGTTTAAAATGTTTATAATTGAAATAGTGGTAATTCATCTCCCATGTTCTATTTTCCGCAGGATCGAAGTGGTCCAATGGCTGCGTCATCGTAGCTTCGTCAATAACTATTACTTCACCTTTTGGCGGTGAAACATCTCGCAGATGATGATCGCCTTCGAAGTGGAAGAATCCATAACAAGTTTTAAGATTGAGGAGGGTTATAACGTAAAACCACAACCCTTTCAAAAATATCATTGTTACTGATATTGGAGAACACAACTTACTGTATATTTTGTCAACCGAACACAGGGTTTATATACCGAGTCGAGGCTTTCAAGACACGTGGAACAGCACACGTTACTATGGGGAGAAAGGGGCACTTTTAAAAAAAATCCTGTTTTTCTTTACAAACTCGCTGAAATGTTATAACTTTTGTTAAAAACTGTTATAAGAGCATTAGCCACTAATTGTTGACAAACACTGTGAATTATTAACAATTGGAAATTGGTTTGTCATTTCACCTACCCTATAATATAGGGTAGGTGAAATGACAAATAATATTATTAAGCATAATAGGCTGTTTATTTAATTTTTTTTTTGCATTTTAACAAGCCCGAGATAAAGCGCCACAACTAAGTAAAATAGTTTAGATGCAGTCTTTCTTTTTGTTTGAAATACATGCAAGTAAAACGGAAAAGTAGCTTGTATGCTTATTATTTAACAGCAAGTGCAAGACGTAAACTGGCGCAAAGTTCAACGAAATTTGCATCCTTGTATGTCTCTATTTAATATAGTTGGTGGCACATGCAAGGAGCTATACGGGACTATTCCTACCTCCCTTTCCCACCACTGCAACTCCTGTGTAGCCAGGATCTACAGCTTGACCGCCAAAAAAAACCCAACCAGTGAAGGTCAAGTTTGTCCCGGGGGAAAGTTCAACTGTCATTGGACCCGCAACGAAATTAATCAGTAGAACATAGGAGGAGTTCGAAGTTAAGGTTCGACTAATCCCTCCGTTGCAAAGCGGATGACAGGTGACAAACAAAGGTTTAGTAACCTTTATGAAAAAGATATGCTGATTGTGGGGGCCTATCTTATGAGCTACTAGCTGTGCCCGCGACTTCGTCCGCGTGGAATAATGACTTTGGGTAGGCACTTTTAATAATTTAGTCTAATTATTTTACAAATAGCTTTTGCCCGCGACTTCGTCCGCGGAGAAGTCGAAAACGTTCTCATTCGATTTTTAAATGTTTTTAACGTTATTATCTAAATGTTTGAATACTTGTAAAATATAAAAATCTTAAAGNCAAAAACTACTCTGTCCACATTTGGCGTCCGGCCACCATATTTTTCGTTGGTTTTCTTAACACCATCTTCCATACGTGCCTGATCAAATTCTGGGCCAAATACGCCTGTACACATTTTATAAAAGAATGAAACCGGTAAGTTATTTGTAAAAGGATGATTATTCGATGAAGTGGATTCCATATAACCAAATTCGGTACAAGTCTGATAAAGCCATGGTTTGAAATAAACATTTTCTTTTATATCTTCAATCATATCGGCAAAGTCATAGTTAAAACAAATGGGATACGAATTATCAAACTGCAATTGCTTGTTCCACTTCCAATCATGAATACTATTTGAAGTAATGATATGATTACAGTAATTTTGTATCCGTGTTGGATTATTAAGTTTTATCCAATTTGAAAAGTCTGATATTTTGTGGTAAAAAAAGGAATGTTGGTTTTCCAGCACCTTCATATCAGTCCATTTGCAAATAGAATGTTCTTTTTTAAGCTGCTTAATTCCCTCGTCAGATTGCAGTAACTTTTCGTAGCGTTGGAATTTTTCAGCTATTTTCTCATAACAAGCAGAAGATCCATATTTCTTGAAAAGATCACCAACTACCTCAAGGTATTCATAAAAATCTGACTTAGCTAACAGGGGAGCACTACTTGATAGGGCTGCGTCTACTAAATCGGGATACAACATCCTCGCCCAGGCGGCTAAATTTCCTGAGTATGAACCGCCGATGACAATGACTTTGCTATTTTTATAAAGATCTTCACGCTTTATATATTCTATGAAGTTTTTCAAATCGGCAAGAGCTTGCGTCGAACTTAAGTAAGCCAAGTTCTCTACACTCATATCGCCGTTAGGAACACTTTTACCGTAGAATCTATGTTCTGGTATCATCACGGTAGCGTTAACTTCTTTTGCAAAATTCTTGATTACAAAATTGTCGATCTGATTAATGTAATAGGGGTGATTGCCTCCTATGTACAATACAAGAGGCCCACCAGGTTTAAAATGTGTATAATTGAAATAGTGGTAATACATCTCCCATGTTCTATTTTCCGCAGGATCGAAGTGGTCCAATGGCTGCGTCATCGTAGCTTCATAAATAGGTATTACATCAGGTTTTGGCGGTGAATCATCTCGCAGATGATGATCTCCTTCGAAGTGGAAGAATCCATAACAAGTTTTAAGATTGAGGAGGGTTATAACGTAAAACCACAACCCTTTCAAAAATATCATTGTTACTGATATTGAAGAACACAACTGTATGTTGGTAACCGAACACAGGGTTTATTTATATACCAAGTCGAGGTGGTAGGCTGGCGTGTGCTGTTCCACGTGACTTGAATCACGTGGAACAGCACACGTCACTAAGGGGAAAAAGGGGCACTTTTCAAAATGGCCTTTTTTTCTTTAAAACATTGGTGAATATTGACCAAGTGTACATTCAGTTGTGCTTAAGCTAATAAAGCCAGGTAGGTACTTACCGTTTTTATACCTAAGCATAAAATATGTAAGAGATCGCTTCATAGCGATAAGACCGCCTATTTGTACCTTATAGGCCAGTAGAATTAGATTTTAAATCGGAAATAATTCCTACAAAAGATTTTAATGCTTTAATGGCTTCATTAGTTGCCTGTTAAGACTCTCCTAGGTTTTCGACTTCGACGGAGTTGTGCTTAAGTGGTGGGGCCCCCGAAAGGGGCGCTTTTTAGGTTTTCCGGTTATACCGCCTAAAGGACTTACCCTATCGAAAAGTGGTCCTCCTGTTGGTTGAAGGGCATTTAATTCTGCATTAAATAAGACCAAATTCATATGTTTTGAACAAACCGTTCTCGTGCAAATGTTCGGAAAAGTAGAAAATATGTGTATAATTAATGACCCTCTCCACTTTGACAGCTATGTAACGTCCGTTGACTGTTCAGATGAGCGCGCGCTTCCATCGCAATTGCACGTTTTTTTTGCGACTTGCTTCATCCTGGATGAGTTGCAACAAGTAGTCGAATGATTTTATAGACATTCTAAAGTAATTAAAGAATTTAGATTAATTGTCTCTCAGATTCGGATATAATGTTGCAAAAAAACTGAGACTATTTTTCAAAATTGGGTGAACATGTGAACATAGCCTAAAGAGTCCATATGACAAGCGCTACTTAACACGCGTTGCGAGGAGCTCGTCAGTTTGTTTCGATAGAGCTTAGAGAATGGACGTGGAAAAAGCTATCGCGATGGAAGCTCGCGTTCATCTGAACAGTCAACAGACGTTACATAGCAGCTGTCAAAGCGCGCGTCAACCCGCGATCGCCTGCGTCTAAAGACTTTTTCTCTGAGCGCCGCGACAACCTTCGCTGACGTGCGTTAACGTGCGCTCATGAGTGATCAGTGGGTCTAGACAAAGTGCAAATTATGATCGCAAACCAGTCGAAAAGTGGTCGAAAAGCCCCTTTTTTGTATGGAGTTTTGACAGATTCGATTTTCGATTCGATCAAAAAGTGCGTTTTGTCTAGGGGGGCTGTTGTATTTAAGGCGATTAGAGTCCTCAATGACCTTGGGCGTTTGACCTTCACGCCGCGCGAAACACCCGCGCACCCCGCACGAACACTCCGATTTGACACCAATCAAAATTACACGGGCATAGGTAGATACAGAATAGAAGCTCTTTTTTCATGACATTACTGCCTATTATTTTAAACTTGAATTGATGAACTTTGATGTCGGGGTCATTTAACTCAGGCGTAAAGGTATTTAATAAAAATAACACAATCCATGAACATTTTGTACGGGACATTTTTATTTTTATTTTTTCGTAAATTTTCTAATGTTTTTGTCGGTTCAGCCGTTCTCGAAATTTGAACGTAATATGTAGGTAACTTCGGGTGGAATCTTGCAAGCTGAATTTGTTAGACCAACTTCCTGACGACAACTGTAGGTATTGGAACACATAGTAGTATTGTCTATGGTTTAAAAAAGGAAATGTTTCTTCTTTTGTCTATGTCGAAGAATAAACTGAAAATGTGTTTAATCTCGTCTTTTTATTAGAAATCCTTCAACAACTGATTGAGTTAAAATTTTGGATATACATGTAATTCGGATGACAATGCAATATTGTGATGACATGGAATCGATCTGATGATAGAGCTGGAATGCCAGTGGCCCCATAGCAACTCCGGGATTAAACGATTCCATCGAGTTTAGACTCCTTTGATTTGTATTTATTTATTTATATAAATATAACTAAGTAATATTAAGTAAGCTACTTTAAAAATCACGAGTACCTACCTACTTTAATTCTCAAAGGCAAACAGGGTCTGATGATGGAGCTGGAATGTGGCCGTAGGAATAGGCTAGTTTCTTAAAAAAACACTTTTAGTCCGTCAATTACACTATCAAAAAATATTGGACACGGGATGTTTTTATTTGTCAACAAACAAGTAATTACGAAGTTATGATGCGATGAAATTCCGCGTGACGTCACAAATCGCAACAATTTTAAGCACGCCTTAACGTCATGGGCCTCTTCTGAACTTTGGCGCGCTTTATCTCTTTAAATTTTCATAAGTTTAAAAAAGTGAAAAATACATTTAAAGTATTTTTTTGGTAAGTTGACCGACGGACTAATTCAAACTCTTGCTTTACCCAGGAAACATCCTTAATCTTCGAAATTATTACGAGCTACATAACGAAAAATCTTTGCTACTACGCCGCAGCAAATTCCGCATCTTATATAAAAAAATAAATTAAAAGAAAAAACCTTTTTTTTTTTAAACAAGTTTTTGTATGCTAATAATTTTAGTTTCATGACATGCTCCCAAAATTCATCATCTTATAAGAGGATTTCAGTTTTTATCGACGAAACTTTTTAATTATTATATACTATAGGTACGTTTCATGGTTAGGTAATTTAGGGAAGTTTATTTGCACTTAACATGAAAAATATGGTATCAATGTACTGTGTACCTATGCACCTTCAGTGGCAACAACAAGGTCTATTGAGTACCTATAGTCTATTAAAGGCATGAAATAAATTAATTTTTACCAAAAATTAAAACCAACTCCAAAACGAATCACCAAAAGGTAGGCTGTCACCGACTCCGAAAATATCAATCATGATATACGGGCATTTGTAATCCGTATATTCACATTTTTTAATAAGCTCTCTAGAACAATTTATCAATACCACTTTATCTTATTTTTCTCAACTTTGGTATTTTCGCGAAGAAACATATTGAAAATTTAATTCTAAATGGCCCATTTGCGCCGAGCCTAAGTATGAAAAATGTGAATTGTTTTTTTCACGTAAATCGATTAAGTTACTGATTCTGACTCGCTCCTAATTTGGATACTGATTGCAAAGGCCTAGTAAATAAATAACGGAATATATTTTCAACTTTTACTTATCTAGTGCNCCTTAAATACTACGATGTCTAGTCGCGCGATTTGAAAACGCGCGTCAAAATTTTGCCATCTGAACATAGCCTTAAGAAAACCTTAGGAAAACGCCGCGACTCACACCGTCTACGCTATCTGTCGCTTTAATGCACGAGCAACGTGTTATAAAATAAAAATTAAAAAACGTATACATTTTTATTTATCAAAGTAAGTAAAGCAATAAAACATTAGATTAATCATTTATGTGTGAATTAAAAACACAACTAGTCCTTATTTCCCCTCCCGTAGCTATCTACATTCTTTTGATTTTATTGGATACATTTTATTAATTTATTTAGGTATGTTTCTTATTGTTAACGACTTTGAATTATTGAAATAGATGTAATTAAAATTAAATGATTGTTAACTTTATTTGCATAGTTAAGATAACTAGTACAGAATTCTAAATATGAATCTACTAACCAGTAGGTAATTATGTATTATATGCTACATCAACTTTATTTTGACCGCGGCTCCGCTTGTGTGCGAAAATCACTTGAATGCTTTGTTACAGTTAAGCCACGGTAATACTATCTATATGTCACCGGAAAATAACAAGACTCGTAAGTTGATCAATTTTCTAGGTAGTTGATCAACTCTCGGAAAATAATAAACGGCATTTGGAATGTACTATTTAACGTATGTATTTTAGTAAGTTGATTAATTTACGGCGTCTTGCCGTTAAATCATCCGACAAAGGCAAGGTGTACGTTGATTGGTTAAAAGACTCACGTGCTTTTATACCGCTCCCCGCCACCCGGCCGCCGCCATTACCGGTTTAAACGTAAAGAAATCTATCTAGTCCGTACTTGTTTTTCTTTATTTACAGTAGTAAAATTAGCAATAATTGTTGTTTTGTTTGGTAATAATTCTCATTATAACGAGTCATTTTATTTATGATGAGTGAAATGGAGAAATAAACGAACAATCAGTGAGCAATACTAGTTTTGTCGATCGAGAACGCTTTGATGCAGAGTTACAAAAGTACTACAGTGGGCTAAGTACAGAAAATAAAATATAACTCTGAGCTCCAATATATTTTTTTTAACATTTTTCATTTATTTAACTATACAGGGTGTTAGGTAAATGGGTATATGAGCCGACAATAGCCCATGTTAACATGGGCATATAAATGGTATGGTGAAGTCAGAAAATTGATATCTTCATTTTAATCATTTTAATTTTCATACAAACCGGATTTTATAAAATTTATTTTGTATGAAAATTAAAAAATTTAAAATGATGATATCAAATTTCTAACTNTGTTGCACTATCAAATGCAATTGACGCGCCTCTGTGCCAGGGTTTTTATGTTCCTGGTCAGGCTATATAATATATTTCAGTCAAAACTCATAATCGATCAAAACCACTTCCGACTGCAAAAATCAGTCAAAAGTGATTTTGATTGATGCCCTCTTAAAACTATATTGTAAGTTTAGATACTACTCTAATAGTCAGTAACAGCACTGGTAA